ACTTCTTTACTGTTGAACTTCTCTGAGCCTTTAATATGCCAAAATAGATTGTAAACAACAAAATTAAGGAGTATTGGATTAAAACCCAAAATATAAGATACAAATCCATGAATCCCTACTGATATACATAAGTGATTAGAATAAATAATTAAATGGTGGGGGAGAGACAACTCTTCCATGCAAAAAAGATTTCAAATAATTTCTGTTGGCATTCCCTCCTCAAGGAAGTGGAACATAACTGCCCCTCCTGAAGTGTGGATTATATATAGTGGCTCCCTTCCAAAGAGTACAGCATATAAAGGGAGAGAAAGAGTGCCTTTACAGTGGAGACACCTCACAAATACTACCTCAGCCAGGAAATCCACGTCTATATCAACAGTGACAAATCACATTGATAGTGTGTACCCTGATACGATGTGATGAATATAAATGGCACTTTATATCTGTGGTCTCCCTCCAAAAAAACCCACAACTACAGTCTAATCATAAAAAAAAAAAAAAAACTGACTAATTCCAACAGAGGGATATTCTACAAAATACCTGACTAGCACTTCTCAAAACTGTCAAGGTCATCAAAAACAAGGAAAGTCTGAGGAACTGTCATAGCCAACAGGAGCCTAAGGAGACATGACAACCAAATGTAATGTGGTATCTTGGATGGAAGCCTGGAACAGAAAAAGGATATTAGGTTAAAACTAAAAAATATGAATAAAGTATGAACTTTAACTAATAATAATATATTAATATTGGTTCACTAACTATAACAAATATACTATACAAATGTAAGAAGTTAATAATAGGGGAAACTGGTATGGGATCTATGAAAGCTCTCTGTATTACCCTCTCGATCTTTCTATACATCTAAAACTCATAGAGAAATAAAATCTATTAAAAACAATAAAATAAATTATGAGTTACCAACAAGAAGGTAGTGTGTGCCTCAATTCTCAAATTTTTTGTCCATGGAACCTTTTGTGATGGAGCATCTCTCAGGGCTAGTATTCAGCAGAAAATACTCTGGGAAATACCAATACAGCATAAAAGGACGCTTTCCCTCATCAGCCCAGAAAATTAAACACCAACCCAGCTTGCCAAAGACTACTGAGAGGTGATTTACACCCCAACTCTGAAGGCACAAGATGAGCTAAGTGAAGTTAAAATAACTCATAAAACTTTATTAGAAAAAAAGGAATCAAAAATTTCTAGAGTACAGTTCCAAAAATATTTTTCCCACATATTTTACCAAATAAAAGTGATTTTTGATTACAAAGAGCAAATAACAATCTAATAAGGAACCACCTGTCCCAACCTCCTTCCCAGTGTTCCTACAAAACTTCCTAGTCACATCCCCTATAGCACACAGCACTTTCTACCTTATATTACAATTCCTTGTATCCAAGTCTTCTTTCAACTATTAAAGCATGAAATTATCTAAAGGTAGAATCTATGTCTAAGTTACTTCCAAATCTCCATAGCATATATCAGAGTGTCTTCCACTAGTAGGCATTCAGTAAATATCTTTTAAAAGAATATTGTAATCATTGGTAGAAGAGATAGCAAACGCCTTTACTATTCATTTAACGCAAATTTACTGAACTCCTGCTACATAAAAGTAAGTATACTAGATGTAGTGGATGTAGATTTCAAAACGAAAATGTTTTGAAATCGTTACTGCTTTCAAAAGACTTATAACAAAAGTCAGAAAGATGTGTACAAAAATTACTATAATAAAGTGAAATTTATGATAAGGGCCATAAAATGATTGTGTGCTAAAAGAGTCCAAAAAGGGAGAGATCCTTTTAAACAGGGGTAACAACAACATCAGAGAAGAGATGTCATCTGAGCTGACCTTCGAAAAATAGATGGGATTTCTGTAATGCAAAGCAGGCAGACAGGGCTTTCCATGACAAGAAAGCAAAATAAGAAAAATCTTAAAGATGAAAGAGGAAAAAGGAAAAATGATTCACTTGGAAGGGCACAAAAGACAGTTATAAGACAGCAGAGACTGAGCAGGTGAAGGGGAAGCTGGAGACAAATAGTAAAAATTCTTAAATGTTGGGCTTTGGAGTAGGAACTTTGTTAGGCAATTGGGGGTCACTAAAAGTTTATTAGAAGGCAGTAAGATATAGAGCTGTTCACCTGCTTGTAGTTAAAGTTAATTGTATTGAGATTATATAAGGTGATGGGGTGAGAGACACATTGAAAGTTAGGAGGTGTAAGAGTAAGACAAGGATGTGAATTAATGCCTGAAACAAAGTAAGCACTCAATAAAATATAGTCGTCATTATCATCATCATTCATCATTGTGATCGCTATGGTAATGGCCTTGATAATAAAAAGAAGAGGAGGCTATAATACTATGGAAAGAAATAATTTATAGAACTTAGTGACTATCTGGATGTGGAAAACTGAGACTAAAGATATTTCAAGTCTAAATTACTATAATAATGATAGAAAGCAATGAACAGAAATAGGAAGAGATGCTCATTTTAGGAATAACATCATAAACTCAATTTTAGACATGTTGAGTTTGCTCTCACAGAAGAAATATACAATAGATAGTTGATCATGATGACAGGAGCCAAAAAAAAAGATGTGGCAGAAAACAGGGAAGCTATGGAAGCTTGAATGAGATGACTTAAATATCCTTAATAAAGTAGTTGTCAAATGTTAAAAATGAGAGAGACAGTGGTAGGATTTCAGGCTACATGAGTGTGGAAAAACTTTGGGAAAACCTGGAAAGCAGAAAATGAATAATAAATAATAAAAGGATCGACAGGCAGCAAATGAATCTGCTGAAAGATAAATAAATGAACTTAGACAAAATTAATGGTAAACATAAAACTTATGTGATTTTCTTCTTAAGTATACAACAGTTTCCAAAAAGAGAAAAATAGACAGTAGAGGTAGCCTTAGGCTGAAGACTGGTACAGTCTTCTATTCATTAGACAGAATAGAAGTCTAAGGAAACAAGAGCTTATGAGGGAGCTTATGAAGTGCAGGAGAGAACACGATGGGATGGTAGTGATACGATCCAGACGGGGTAGCTCTCATGCAAACAGGAGAGAACTCCCCCGACAGAGCAGACCACTGAAGAACTAGATGACTCAAGGAGAACAAACATAGGAAGAAGGCAGACACTAACTGGTAGAGGAGGCATTCAGCATAACCATGGTTAAAGAATTGATTATTTCAACAAATATTTATCGACAGTGTTCTGTAGATTGGCACTGTGTTAGATGTTGAAGATTAAAAAACACAGTCCCTACTCTTTAAGACTGAATACTTTAGTACAGAGATTGGCGAACTTTATGTAACAGGGAAAACAGTAAATATTTTAGACTTTGAGGGTCATAATGTCTCTACTGCAACTACTTAACTCCAACACTGTAGTGCAAAAACACCCATAGACAATATATAAATAAATAAGACTATTTTCCAATAAAATCTATTTTATTAATTCCTGTAACTTTCAATGGGTCACACGATATTACTCTTCTTTCAATTTTTCAATCAGTTGAAAATGTTCAAAAAATATTCCTAGCTTGCCAGCTGTATAAAAACAGGTGGCAGGGCAGATTTGGTGCATGGCTATAGTGTGCCAACCCCTGATTTGGTGGCTAAGTTGGGAAAGAAAAGAGAGAAGTACCACACATATACACAATACGTACACTTACCATTCCTTTACCTGCTCAGCAACTAGTGGTAAACTATAAGAACGGATCTATTGTTTATCTCTCTATCTCTTCTTTTTAGTCAAGAGAGGAAACCAACTTTTGTGTTTTGTTTCTTACACCTAGTTTGCTAAAACTGATACTTCCTATAAAACTTTTGGAAATTTTCAAATTTCGCCAAAAGATATTTAGACCCAACGTTTTTATTTTTATTTTTTTGAGTTTATATTTTCATAACAAAAGACCAAAGTTCTTTCACACATGTCATTTAATGACTATGCTTTATGACATATCAATAATAAAGAAATATTGTCTAGGTACCACCTAGAGATAGAAATATATTACATATTTCCTCAAATATCACCATGTTTTCTGTTTTTATTGCTTCCTTTCACAATCTAATTTTGAGGGGTTTTAAATGAAAATAAAACTTGAAAAATATCCCCCCCTCATACCACTGCAGTGGGATGCGGTAGCTCACAGTAGAGGAATATTTCTTAGGCACAGCGGAACCACTGTCATCATCGTTGAAGCTGAATGATGGTTCATGGGAGTTCTCTGGGGGTATATTTGAAATTTCTACAATAATTTATAAGACTATGATGGAGAAAGAAGAGTAACTCTGTGATAGCCATTAAGTTCCTTGGCCCTGGCAGTCAGGATCCTACCAAGCACTGTGAGGTACAAACAGTGCCACCTGGCAGGCAGGTGGATCAGGCTCCACTGAGGCAAAGGACAGTTTACAGTCAGGGGCATGTGACAGAACTGATTTTCTATTTTAACAGTTTTTTATATTGTTTCTGATTCAATTATTTTATTTTATTCTTTTAAAGTGGTGTTAGTTTTCAGCTCATTTTAGATAGCAGGTTCATTTGACTTCTGCAAAAGAACACGATTAGTACATAATAGCCTGCTGTGAGAACAAATATATTTCAACTACAGTATCAATAACACTGGCTTCAAAAGCCAAGATTTTAAGAGAAGAGTGAGTCAGTTCATTCCCATTTTATTCCTTTAATATCACAGAGTATAAGGATTGATTGTTGTATAATACCTTTATCATATTTTAAATTTCAGGCCAGTATGACTCATAATTTTTTTCTTCTACTCAATGTTTTCAGGATTACTTTAGTAAAATAAGTGTGATCCTTGGTTACTGAAAGTAAAAAAGAAGAGTATGCAAATACTATTCACATCACTTTAGCAGTTCTTACACAGTTTTTCATATAAAGGATAATATATAATCCTGATAGCAATAACGGTCTTTCGCTCTGCATTATATAACCTGGCATGGAAACATATAATTTAAAATGAACAATAACCAACCTGTGCTTTTCTCATGTATACCAAAGGTTCTTTAAGATGTTCAGGAGGTGCAGCAGGATGACTAGGTAAAGGAAACCTAGGGACAAAAAAAGGCAGCTAAATATTGTACATTATTCTTGATAATTAACTAATTCTCTTGGTTAGAAATTACTTACCTCTGTAGTCCATGTCAGAAATGAAACAATATTTGTTAGCAGTTCTATATGTTTACACGAAGTGTAACAGACTAATAAATTCTTTATTCTTATCCTATTAGTACTATAGTTTTATTTAAGCAACTTAATTACTAAGTTGCATAATAATCTTAATCCATAAACCAAGGTAATTTTAAAACTATTTAGCTCTGCAAATGCTCATATGAAAACTGTCATAACTTAATTTTAACATATACATATGATATTTAGAGAGATCTTGACAGGTTGAAAAAAATCCATTGACTTATTAATACATCAACTCTTTTCATTTACCCCAATTTCCTTTTCCAAATGATTATATATTTTTACAAAGTTGAAATAATAATATAAATATAATCTATTATAATTCTCATTTTAATATGTAATGCATAAATTTACAAGTTCAATAAAATTTAAAATTTTAATGTCATGAATTCTTTGTTTCTTTCTAAGTAACTTTACATTTTATATTTAAAATGTATTATTTTTACTAAGAAAACATTTATTCAACAAATTTTTGAGTCATTCTAGGTACTAAGTATATGGTGATGATTAAGACAATATCCTCTGTTCTCATATACCTAACATTCTAGTAAAGAAAGTCAATAATTACAAAAACAAACACATAGAATAATATCAGGTAGTAATAAGTGCCATGAGAAAATGAGAGCAGAGTATGAGATAGAAGTGGTTTGGAAGAGTAGGGAAGGCATCTAGGGGAGCTAATACTTGAACTAAGACATGAATGAGAAGAAGTTGTCTACGACACAAAGAACTGGGGGAAGACCATTCCTGGTAGAGGGACAGCGAGCATAAGACCCTGAGGTGGAAAGCCAGAATGGCTGGAATGTAATAATCAAGGCACAGAGTGATGCGAAATCATAGACAGAGAAGGCAATAGGAAAACATGATCGTTTTCAACATTTACTTAGAGGTTCCAAGCAATATATAACTCTTTCACAGCAACATATAACTCCTTTTGAAGTTGGTCATAGGACTTGTACCCACAGCAAAGCACCATGTTCCAATAATTGAGAACCACACATAGAATTTTCAAGAAATTCTTCATGCTGGGACATCAGCGTGTGAAGAGTTAACAGGCCACTTGTACCTATCCTAGAACCTAAGTATAAAAGGCTCAAATGTCCATAAAAAACATTTCTAGAATAAAAAAGGCAACCTATCTTACCTAATTTATAAAGCAGTTTCACTTACTAATTACTTCTAGCTGTTCACTAAAATCTACATTCCGTGTACTTAAATAAATTATCTTTCTCAAAGGAAAAAATGATAGCCTCTAGATACCTCAGTATTCTTTCTGATATGCAGGATAGTTTTAAAAGCTATATATTTCATACAGCTCAATATATAATTTGTAAAGAGATATGTGGTTTATCTCTTTAATAGTGCTCTAAAATCCTTTCATTTTAACATTCTTTCTAAATGTAATAAAACTTAAGACATTTAGGATTGAAACTTGAAAACACTCCCTAATAATCTTAAGAGTTAATTCTCAAAGAAATTGATCCAAAAAACAGGTAGCAAGAAGTGGCAACCCAAAAACACTAATACTGAACCAAAATCAAGTTAGATATTTATTCATTCAGAAATATTTAATGAGAGGCTACTAAGTGTTTAAGGTAATAAAGATACGGCAGTGAACAAAATAGGCTAAAATCTCTGTCCCCACAGAGCTCACACAGTGGTCTGTGGAGATGAGGGCTGTCAGATAGGAGCCGTGCATGGAACCTGTGCGTCACTGCTGACTCCTGACTCTTCCTGTCCACTTGAATACATCTCATCTTTTTCTACCCCACTGACTCTGCATTAAGCAACCAACATCTCTCGCCTGCATTCATCCAAAAGATTCTTAAGTAGTGTCCCCTGCTTCCACACTATTTTCAAACTATTTGCCAATTTGCCTGGCTGCTATCCAGGAGCAGTGTCTTCCTTATTCAACAGTGATTGTATTTCCAGCATCTAGCATTATGCCTAGCACATCTTAGATAACTAGTATGTTGTTGAATGAATAAAATACAAATATGGTCATGTCACTATTATGCTTAAAATTCTAAATTAAAACCTAAATGTTTTTAGGATCCAGTCTACAAAGCTTTGAGTACGAAGCACAGCCCTGTCTACATATCCAGCATCATCCTTTACCATGCCCTTTCCCCTATATCACCCAGCCATACAACTTTCTTCCTCCAATGTGTCGCATTTTCACCTCTAAGTCTCTAAGCCTCTTGTTCCCTTCTAAAATATCTGAGCCCATTGTATCTCTCTGCCTAAGGCACTTCTCTTCTCTAATCCTTCCCCTGACTAACTCTAGCTTAGTGTTTTGATCTTAGTATGAATACTGTTTCCTTTGCTAAACCATCACAACATCCCCAGTTCAAGTCAAGCACTAGGTGCTCGTTGTACTTCCCCTATCATAGCACTTATAATATTGCACCATAACTTCCTCTTTAAAGTCTGTCGGCTCCACCAGGATGTAAACTCCATGAAAGCAAAGGCTATCTAGCTTGTTCATTTTCCTCAGTACCCAGCTTCAGGCATAACACATAACAAGTACATGGTAACATTTAAAGTAAGACAAAGAAGAACTATATGATTAAAATATTCTGATCCAGGTTCACTGCCTGAGCACTGTTCCAGCAAACACCAGGAACATTATAAAGGCTTAGCAGATGTCGAGGTCTAGTGTAAGGTACTCACTATCTAAAATCTTTCCATTATTGTCCACTACTGTTCAACACTCATACCTCTCCAAGGTATTGTAGACATTTACATATATCTACTATAACAGGAGACTATGGTATATCTTCTTATATATGCATAAAGGGTTTTTTTAAAAAAGGTTTATTTATTTCTTTATGTTCCTTAAGAGAAAATGATGTCATCTAATTCTTTATAAATAGCTTTACACATAGTTCAATGAAGACTAAAACAAAGAAAGAAACTGGTGCATTTTCAGTGTAAAGACTGTCTTAGTGAACTTTTTATTGTAAGTTTAGGATGAATAATTATACTGAGTGCCTCAATTCAACAAATATTTATCATGTGTTAGCATTGGTAAATGGCTCAATAACTTTTTTCTAACTGAATAGCATTTATTTGATGCTATAGGAGATGCTTAAAGTAAAACATAATTCTTGCTTCATAATACTTTTAATCCAGGCGAGAGATACATGAAATGTAGTAAAACCCAAGTGCTTTGGAATCAGACATCTGGAGGTCAAGCCCTCACACTGCCATTTACTAGCTACTAAATAGTTACTAAAGTGGGCTGAGCCTCAGTTTTCTATTCTGTAAAATGGTGATAATAATAAATTCTAAATTATAGAGTTGCTATGAAAATTACATTACATGAGGCAATGTATATAAAGTGCTTAGCACAGCGCATGACATAAAATATGAATTTGATCAATGTAAATGACCATTAATGTAATATTAAATCATTATTAACAACACAGTAACTAAACAAAGTGGCAACCTTGAGTGCGAAGAGCTGACTTGGGCTATAATTACACATTTCACATAAATAACAGAAAATGGAAAGTTTCCAGTTATATTTGTTAATTAAGAATCTGACAAAAATCTTTGGAATGTTTACTAAGTAAAATGAAGTGAACAATTTCTAGGTATCGTCTATATAGCTCACGTGTCCGCACCTCTATTAGGTGTGAGAGAAATTCTTTTCAACTCTGATTATTTAACCTAATGAATATTTCTACTTCACTTTCTGCTGCTTTTGCTTGTCTATCTAATGGTTTCTGCCAATAAAAAGTGCAACGAAACATGCCAAGTCCCCTCTCCTCTTCTGAATTGTGTGTGGAGACCCCTCTCCCTCACTCTGGAGGGTCCGTCCCTGTGACAAGAGCTCTGTTACTACAGCAGCCTTGGCCTCTCTCCAGAACCACAGAAGAGGTTTAATGCCTTATCTAATTTTTAAATTTTGGAAGAATAAACTGAACATGTTCACCCACACTATGTAACTGGAAGGGCAAGTCTGTTTAATTCTGGAGTTCAGTTAAATGACTCATTTTGCCCTCGCACTAAGCTATGTCTTCCCACCTAGTCTTTATCAGAAATAAAGTATAATCTTGATCTCTCATTTGCCTTTATGTTTTATCTTATTTCTCAATTTATTCAGAACCCCAATGAGGAAAAAGGAAGTTTTAATGGACTCCTTCAAAATTATTCAAAAATATTTAGTTAACATCTACTGTGTAGGGTACTGAGGATATGACCATGAATGAAATAATGTCATGCCACAAGTATAAAAAGGCACTCTGTCTCAAGAACAATTTTCAAGATTGCATTAGATCACAAAAACGGCAATCATCAAATGAGAATCCATGTTTGGAATTACACACAACAGATGCTTTGATTCTACCAGTATCAAAGACAAAGACATTGAAATTACAAGCTTTCTATGTAATTGTCAGAGAGAGAAATCACCATGTTCGCATTAATCACGCTGTGGCATCTCTATACATATTGTGAATTTAAAACCTTACTTGTCATGGTGACTAGCACCAAAAGTATAGTCACAGTCAACTTTAATTAATAGATAACACTGATACATGATGTTAAGACTTCATAAACCAAGTGAGAAAATGGTGATAAACCAAGAAGCAAATATTGATTTTAAAAATGTGTGTCTAACACAGGTGCCCAGACTTTCATTGAGTCTCTTTATATTGAAATGGTTCTGGTAAACTGAGTTGTCTTGTTTTCCGGTTAACAGCAGGTTAGAAGGGGCAAGTTAGAAAGGGGAGCGTTAGAAAGGAGAGGATGCTACAGACACAGATGCATTGGTAGCGGTTAAAATAAAGAAGCGGACATAAGAATTCTGTTAGACTATATATAAACTGCACGAGGGCAGGAATTGTGCTTATTGTTCTATACTATATTCCCAGCGCCTAGCGTAGTGCTGGCACATGGTAGGTACTCAGTAAATAACTGATGAATAATAAAATATTTAAAAACTACAAAAGCTAATGTTCTAAATCTACATTTTTGTAATGACAAATAGTTCTATATACCTCAACAGACTCTGAGGGCAAGTCCACATAAACAGAAACATTGATTTCTTAATAATGATATTGATTTTGCAAAAAAAGTCAATTATATCTAGTACAGTCACTTATGAAGACAAATAAAAAGGGTAATATCTGAAATGGCAGCAATAAAAAGAAGGCTGGTAAGCTTCAGTTTTCTGAAGTGTTAACTTATGAGAAACATTCCCTAATTACACTGGCTAAATAAATTGTTAACATAAAATTTTTGGTGGCATAAAAACCCTACCTATTTATTATTAATTCTCAGGTAAAACTGTAATTGTTAAAAGTATTAACTTATTTGAAATGCTATTAAATACTAATGAGATATATTAATACAATGAGTATATATAGCAATACTGTATTCAGTACTTACAAAGTTAGTATAGCTAACATGACAGTATCTCAAAATAGGTATGAAAAACTCACACAGTCAGTTCACTATAAACAGCATTCTGAAGTTTCTTTTCCCAACCTGTTTTTTAAAAAAGAATAAAATATATAAACATATTAGTTTCTAATATACACATTATAATTAAATTTACCTAAAACTGTAACATCATATTCATTTTTGAAAGAACTTTATCAACAGCCAATTGCTGTATAAAGTGTTATTAAGGAATTAGTTCCTATATATTCACTATACCCCTTGGCAAACACTGCATAGCCAAGTTGTCAACATGACATTATTTTTTAAGTAAAACTATTGCACCATTTTATCAGGATGGGAGGAAAATTCTCTCTTTTTTTTTTTTTTTTTTTTTTTACTGTTAAGGTACTCAATGAATGCCAAAATCTTTAGCGATTGTACTACTAGTGCTATGAAGAATGTTCCGAAGGAAGGGCAGAAACAGCCAGGCACTTGACAAACATAGATCACAAGTAATTAGTTACAACTAACTAATCAGTAAACTCCTAAACAACAGAAGCAGATTAGTATAGGGCACTGCCAATTAAACAAGTTAGATTAACCACTAACCACTTGAACTTTTCTGGGTAAGTAAACCACTTAATACATCAGTTTCATGTGCAAAGGTTTATAATAGGGAACTTCTCTTGCTCTAAAAAGAAGTAGGATTTTCTTTTTTCTTTGAAAGGGTAGAAAAGAGGAGGGAAAAGAAGTGTAGAAGGAAAAAAGCCACAAATAAAAAGTAAAAGACAAGTCGCTTAACCAGGGAGGTTCTTCATATATTCAGGATGTATTTTGATCAGGAAGGTAACAATACTTAAAAGTGGTTAACGTAAAGGAGTCATCCCCCACTGCTCCTGAATTTTTGCAGCATTTGTATGAAATGTTCTAATTTCATACAAATGCGTATGAAAGTTCTAATTCTTCCCAAATAAAAACCTATCCAGCCACCATTTCACAATTTTGAATGAGTAATTGGACAGCTGGGGATAAAATATTCCTTTCAAATAAAGTATTTCCTTATTTTGCCTTAAAGAATTAGGGGAAAAGGCAGCTTACAAACCTGAAGTTTTAAAGAATTCCTTAATGTCTTCTTTTAGTGATTCAAGTTTAATCTCGGGTCTCTGAAGACTGGCCTAATTTTGGAAAGAAGAAGAAAGAAAAAGACAGAGGTCAAAAGCAAGTCATTTAATACTAACTAAAATTTTAAAAAGAAATGTCCGAATGTGCATGCTATTTAAAAATTTCCGTTTGAGGTCAGAGCACCTTAGAACTGGACTAGCTCTCGAGAGAGAAGACTTTTTCACCTATTTTTAAAATAGAGGATCTGTGACAGCATAGTGCAGTCCACTCAAAATATAAAAACTTGCAGTTTATATTTTAACATCATCTATGGTTTTTATCTTTATGAATAAAGATAACATCATCTATGGTTTTTATCTTTATGAATATTTAACATCTATTTTTCTAGTAAGGAAAATACCCCAATTTCATAAGTTCATTCTCTTAATACTATATTCAACATATAAACAGCATCATCACCTAATGACCAAAACCCCAGTTGCATCCATAAAATAGATTTTTGAATATTGTCTTCCTCTTTGGAGTGCTGCTCAGTGTGAACCTGCATTTGTCGTGCATATTTACGAAAAATATATAAAACTACAATTTCACAAATGTTTATTAGTATCTTTTTCATTTTCAACTGCAGGCTTTCTAGTCTACTAGTTTTTCATACTGCAATTTTTACCAAAAATAATAATTTCTTCAACTTAGAATGACTTCAATTACTTTCAGTGTGTTGGTCTTTCATCAACTCCTAGCTCTCTCCATCAAGTTCCAGAAGCCTATTTCTTAATAAGGCATTTCTCTTAGGATATCTTATAAGCAACTCAAACCTAGTAAGTCAAAAATTGATCTTGTTTTCCATCCACTGCCTTGCTCCTTCTCTTCTATTTTTTAATCCTTATCCATTCAATTACCATCCACCAGATCTTCCAAATCAGAAACTTCTGTTATTCTCAATTGCACACTAACTCTTCTAAGATTCAACCCATTTCTGGGAAGATGGCATTAGTGGCAGTGCGTTTTGTTTTTAATCTCTGATTTCCACTTAAAACAGACCAGGCACCTAGACAGCAAAATCAAAATCCCAAGGAAAACATGTACAACAAAATTTGGTCCTAAGATATCCCCCATAAACCTAAAATACGAGCAGTTGGGGACAAACCAACAGAAACAAGATCTATATGGTATTAGCATCCATCCAGGAAAAAGCAGAGGGAAGCAGTTGAGTATTTGATGGAGGACTCCATAATAGCCAACAAGTATTCACTGGAACATATGATACACCAATTTTAGAACAAGAGCTAAAACTTGGAGGAGTTTTGCCTGCTCCAATATAGCAGACGAGGTCTGAAGAGACTGGAGTAACCTAGCATCTATGAATTCTCGAAACGGACCAACCAGGACACTTTCCAGAGAAGGTCACATTGAGGAGAAAATCTTGATAAAGTAATAAAACTTGAGGATGACAAGGAACGAACTTATTACCTTGAAAACTGTTAAATAAAGGAAAAGTCATTTACCCTGCCTTTCCTATAGAAGCTGTAACACTGGGTAACCAAATAATAGATAAGGGGCAATGTCTCTTTACAAGAGTATTCCAGCTAATAACTAAAACAGATATGATATATTTAGAATATCACCATTTTGCAACTCTTAATGAGCTACTAATTTTAGGCATAGGGCAAAAAACAGCTATTAACCTTGCAAAAGATAACCAGACGAGATGTGCTTCTCAATGAAAGAACACTCCACTGCCAACAGCCATGGCCACCTGAGTCTGCTAAAGCCACTGGGTCAGCTGTCAATTTACAAGTCAAACAAAGGACAGAGAAACATGCTAAGCTTAACTATGAGTGTGTAATCTGAAAAATTCAGGACGTGAGAAATTCTAAAGGTCAAACGCAAAGTTTCACTTTTTTACTAGGGTGGATTTTACAGTCATTCAGATTATAATAATTCATTATATTACAGATTTGTTTTGTATAGTTTGTGTTTTATTTTATGATCAAAAGAGTTAAAAAAGAAAAAAAAGAAATTTTGTCCCCCACTAAATTCCTTCTCTCCATTCTAAAGTCCAACACTTAAGTCTACATCCTCATCATTTCTTGTTGGAACAACACAACGGCTTCTGAACTGGACATCTGGCCACCTTATTTGAATTGCAACTATCCCCGACCCCCATTCTCACACCTTCTTATTCTACTTTTTCTTCTTTGTTAGCATTTATTATCTCCTAATATACTGCATGATTAATTTATTTACTACGTTTATTGGTCTCTATTTTGCTACACTTAGAAGTAGGCAGATATCTTTGTCTATTTGTTCACTGTTGTATCCTAAGTGCCTACAGTAGTTACTTTCACAAGTAGGTGGTCAGTAAATGCTTATTAAATAAATAAAGCAATTTCTCTTTTTTCCAATCCATCTTCTAGCATTTTCGTCCTAAAACATAAGTCTTTCCTGGCTGTGGACCTCCATAGCACACATAAGAAGTCTAAACTTTTCAGCAGGGTGGGCACACTAGGCCCTTCATTATATGGACCAACTTATCTTTCCATATTTATCAGCTGCTTCTCCACCAAGCTAACAATATCCTCTCTTTTCTCATACCTCTTCCCTATGCATATCCTACTCTCTAGTCACAGTGAACTATATTCACTGATTCCCCAACTGCCAAAAACTTTAGGGGTTCCAGGCTTTTGTTCATGTTTCCTCAGATATAAGTGCCCCCGCCCCCACCACCTTGGCAAACACCTACTATCTTCCAAGACATTCCTCAAATACCACCTTCTTTCCCACCCTTGCCTGCAAAGATAGTACACTCTGTTCCTCTGTCATAGCATTTTTGATGATTATCAACTCACCTATTTATCTTCCTGACTGTTAAATTCAAAGGCAAAATGATATCTTCTTTATTTCTGCATTCCAAATGTTAACTTGGCATTGTTTTTTGAAAAAATTATACTGACCAAACCATGTTATATCCTTTTTAACAAATTTCCCCCCAAATAAACAAGGAACTTTATAAAAATTATTTTTAAGTTTGTTTTTCTTAGGATTTTAAAAGCTGCAAAACCCTGTTTATTATTCAAAAGCACTGTGGCAAAAGGAAATAGGTTTTCTTTTACTAAGCTTGTATTTGGAAATGACTCAGAGGTAGCACAATTTGAAGAACTTCAAGAGAGAAATGGTTATTCTTTCTAAACATTTTCAGCACTTGAAGGTTGCTACACCTCCTGGGTATACTTTTTTATATCAAAGGCAAACCAAATTCACTAATCGTCTCATCTAATTATAAAAATATTGAGAAATTGGAAAATCAAAAGCGGAACAGTAACAGAAGGACAACATGGTAAGGCACAGCATTTCTCAAACATGCTTTAGCAGCATAATCCCTTTTCAAATGAAATCTGAGCCCTGATAGGAACCCTATTATATAAAACTCACTGAAAATGGTATTATTAGACAATGAGAACAATGAGTCTTTTGTTGTCTAAAGTATGATTAACATTAAAAAGGTACAACTTTATACTGCTATAGCCTCGATACACAATTTGTTTTTTGTATTTTGTTTTGGTTGCTCAATGTAAATAAAAATCCTGATTCACAGAGATGAGTGTTTGCATTTTTAACAGCCATCCTGGCAATCTCAGCACACTCCCCAATTAAACTGCTGTGGGAAATTGAAGGAGAAGCAGTTGGAAATTTTTATTTTGAAGACAAATCACTAAAATTATTTATCATAAATACAAAAATCAGACAAAGAACTTCTGGTACTTGTAACTGCTAAAACTATGCATACCATAGTATTACTACCTCATGATGCATTGCTGGCTCACTTGTCCTGCATCTCAGCAGAGCACCATGATGGGGGCTGCTGAGCAGATGCACCTGTGCTCAGCTTGACCAACACCAAACACTGCACACTCCCCTGTACTACTATCCCCACTTGTACGATGTACCGTGAGCGGACATGCACAAGCCCAAATATTCTGAAAAACCAGCGCAGAATTACATCCTTCCTCATTGATGACACATTTGTAAGTGTCCCAAACATAGGAAGAAATAGGAAAGAAGCAGGTTTTTTTTTCCCCCCCTGGGATCTACCCAGAAACAAGTTAATTTGGAAGCACAGTAGTAGATTATGAAGTATTTGATAT